GTTGATTTTGTTGATTGAGCTTTTGATTTTGATGGAGATTAGGTTATGAGTAGTTGATGGTTTGTGATGGTGTTGAATGTGGTGTTTTTTGTGTTGAAATGGTGATAGAGTTCATTGGTCTATACACTTACGCCACAACTGTTGGATGTTATTGGTGTTAAATGTATCTTAGTCGATCCCCATTCACACATTTGATCACATTCGAGTTGTTAGTTTAGTTGTCTTGTTGTCGTTTATATTGCTGATGGTGTTGACATCGCGAAGTGACGTCATGTCATCGCGGCATGCCGTCACGGCATACGTCAAGTCATCCTGTCACCTGCATCTAGGCATCACGACATCCTTATGTGCATCCATGCTAGGGTACGTTGCATATGTATTATTTGTCTCATTTTGCGTGCATTCATGCATCTCATGCATATCTTGAGTTTTTTAATTATTTATTTTTTTCTGTCAAGTATTGATGTATTGGTTTTACACATTTCAGATGCCGCCTAAGAAGGCTCGTACTGTTTTCCCAACACTTGGTACCTCCACTTCATACAGTAGGTCTACGTTCATTTCTTTCGCCCAGGACACTTTTGGGTCGCAGTTTTCCTCGAGCCCAGTTTTATTTGAGTGCGAGGTCGTTATGTCTGACCTGTCACCTGACATCGCTACTATTTTCACATTCCGGGGGTGGGAGTAATTGTTGGTTGAGTTGAATCCTCCTCCTAAACTTCTTGTTCAGGAGTTTTACGCTAACATTTATAACATTAGCGGATCGACCTTTAGGGTTTTTCTTCGGGGTTGGACGGTTAAGATCACTCACGATTTTATATCGAGTCTAATGCATATCCTAGGGTCGTTCATCATTTATTTCCTTATCTTTTCGTTGGTATACTTTCAATGGACTCTCCGTTCTACGGTGTTTAACACACCGTTGGAGGGTGGTCCAGGTGCAATGCGACTAGATTTTTACCAACTGATCGACAAATTCTATTGCGTATTGTGTGCATGAATCCGTGGTCAGTGTCTCACACTACTTCATTGTCGGCTCAATTTTTTTATGCCTTGTTACATGGAGATTCCATTGATTTACCCTCGTTCATTTGCCAGCAGATTCTTCGTACTTTTCGAGTCACGACGACGAGGATGGGGTTGTCTATGCTGTTTGATTTATCGATTAGTGACAGCCTTAGGAGTTAGGGGATCCGATGAGGATTTCCTGGTTGATAGGCCAAACCACTATTTCTCATAGTCGATCGCATACTTCTTCTCAGTTGGCTTAGCCAGTTGACCCGATTGTGCCGACTGATTCTATCGATGACCTTATCTCTTTTGATCCCTCAAATTTTCCTATTACTTCTTCTGCTCCTACACCCACTAATATTTCATCTTCTTCTATCTCTGTTCCTCCTCCCGATGAGTCTATTCCACCACATGCTGATATTTAATCTGTTCCCATTGACCCGTCTGTTGCACTTATGGGGCAGATGACTGTGCTAGTCGAGCAGCAGGCTCGTATGATGGCGGAGATTACGCAGCTACGAACTACAGTTGATCGACACACTACTGAGTTTACTGCACTTCGTGGTGCTGTTGGATATCTTTAGAATGGGCTGCGATGGATTCGTCGCCATTGGGATGATGATGCAGCCTCTGACAAGTGAACTGATACAAATGATGTTGACGATGCAACTTAGTTGCTAGGTTGCCCCTTGTAATTTTGTGACAAAAATGGGGAGTAGATATTTTAGAGATATTTTGGAGTAGATATTTTTGGTGTATATGATAAGTCTGACTTGACTTGATGTATCTACAAATTTGACTTGACTTGATTTGATGTATCTACAAATTTTGATTAAATGATAATTTTAGTATTGCTAGATTAAGTTTTGATATTTGTAGTATCAATGTTTCGTTTTGGTATGTTGGGTTGCATTGATATTACGTCTTAATTTAGCTTATGATATGAAACTGAAAAGATGCATTATGAGTTATTAACTTCTTAAATCACTTTTACACTATGTACTACTTGAATTGCTTTTACATTTAGTACTGTTTCACATACATTTTACACTGGGTATTTGAATTGTCTATTTCAGAAAACAAGTTTTGATAAATGAAAAGTAGAATTCGATCAAGACAGTTATTGGTTGTGTCAGTCTTTAAGTAATTCTATTTCACTACTATATTGACTTTAGATTGTAGTTTTTCACAGAATGCCAAAGGGAGAGCTTGTTAGGTATTTGATGTCAATGGAAAATCTGTGAACAAAATGGACTAAAATTAATATGTTGTAAAAGTCAATAAGTAATGTGCAAATAGTAGAAATTGCATTATATTAGGTCTAGGGTTCAAAAATGGAAAAGAAGGAAAAACAGTGTCTCAATTTCGCAAGACTGTCGCTATGACTTGACTTGAGCGTTAGAAACAGTAACATTTTCCCTAGCATGTCTTTAGGGCTTCGCTGTGTAGCTCGCCTGTCGCCCAGCTCTCACTCGAGCGACAGGGTTATCCGATGAATTTTTAATTCACTTTTTTAAGACTTTTTATTTGACTCATTCATTCCCTAATCTACATAAAAATAACAGAATGCCTCTGAACGAAAATTCGAAAGTTGATCATTGTGAAAAACACATTCTCTTCATATTATCTTCATCAAATTAGCTTTCAACCTTCATTCTGTGATTGATTCTCGGAGGTGAAAATATCAAATCCACAATCCAAATACCAAACAGCTACTTCCTACATATCTGTTAGAGTTATGGAGATCAATGGAAGGTGACTGGAGTTCCAATCGTTAAAGAACTCGAAGTTCTTCGTTAGTCCACAAAAGATAGACGAATTCACAAAGCTAAGAGTTGCTACAGGATAGCGCAATCTATGAGAGTTTTGAAAACTGCAGCTGGGAATTGGTGCAGAAGTACGAAGTCCAGGATAGCTGTGGGAATTACAGTCAGGAGGTCAGAAAGTACTAGTGGTGGTCGAGTCTGGTGGACTGTATGTTTTAATTCGTTTATAATAGATTGTTGACTGGTAAAGTGCCTGGAGTATTTACTCAGTTGGAATTTCTCTGTGATCACATCTTGTGTTTATTTATTGCTTTCATAACTGCGGTATTTCAACAAAGAAAAAATTGAATTGTATGATTAACCATCTAGAGATAAAATAGTGACTTGTAGTTAATTAATTATTAAGTTTTTTAATTCCGCATAATCACCTATTCACCGCACCCCACCCCTCTTGGTGTAGTTTGGGTCGAACTTCTTATTTTCAAAATTCAAAATTAGTTTCCAATGCATTCTATAAATTGTTATCTAAGTGTATAAAATATAAATTTTACTAAGTTAGCGGATCATTTGAACAGCTACCCATATTTTAGTAACCATTTGCTCCAATTCTTTATGCAAAAACACAATTAAATAAATAACTAAATAAGTTGTGTAGCAACTAGTTTTTATGAAAGAAAAGAAAAATTAGAAGATCATAATAGTTTTCAAAAATATGGGATACAGAATTTGTAGTGCCTTTTCATAATAGAAACACGTATTCCAATTTAGGGGTGTTCTCGATAGAGATTTAATTATTTTTAAACATTATAAATTTTAATTTAAGGAATTTGAATATTTTCTTCAAAATTCATAAGAATTTAATTTAAAATGGTGAAATTTCAAAAGAGCTTGTAACGCGAATTATAAACTGAAAATCCATTCAATTGTCTTGAAATTTCTTTATTAATGAAATTCTTGTAAATCTCAATTAAAAATTCCCAAATTCACAAAGACTTTAAAATTCATTAAAATGGGGACACCCCTAAATCTCATCCATTTGGTCACGTGACAAGACCTTTCTAATTATTTGATTGTTACTAAAAGTCATTAACTACATTGATGACAATGCAAATATGCAAAGTTCTAGTGTGTCAAGTGACAATAATACACCACTAATGCCCTACAACACATGATGTGAATGCGGAAAGTATTAAGTTTAGGTATGTTAGTTCTGTTGTCGCCTAAGTTCATAAATCTCGAAATTTGATAGCCTTACAACATAATCTAAGACCTAGTGAGGATGCAAGGGATGGTAGAACACGCTTCCTCCAAGGTCAATTGCATCTTTCACAGCTTTCGTGAATAAATTTGTAACTCCTTCTCTAGTAGCCTATGAAAGAAGAAAACAAATTTATTCACGAAATCATTCTCTAGTAGCCTATGAAAGAAGAAAACGCCTACTAAATAGATGCATGTCATACGGGGGAAGGATGAGTTTCTATATGATAACCTTATGCGGTTTAACAGAGTCGCGTTAAGAATTAGAGACTTGCAGATGTCCTCGGTCATGCTCCTATGGTTGGCCACGAACCCATAAAAATGTTCCAAGATTTTCGGAAAAGCCCGACGTATTTGAAGAATAAATATATGGTTCCCAAAATTTTAATTTTTTTTGTCTTATTTCCTATCCGACTATGTTAGCTTGTATCCGTGTGTTGAACGTGGTAGGAGAAAAAGTAAAAAGCTCTTAAATAAGAAAACTAAAGTGCAGTATTCCTCCTCTTTTTATGAATTTATTTACACTCAAAGAAGCCAAATGATCTTTATTTCTTTTTACAGAATTTATTTACACTCAAGGAAGCCAAATGATCTTTATTTATTTCTTTCTTTCTTTCTTTAAAGTGTGATTGGAACTGATCGAATTTTCATCCGACAAGGAAGTTTCTTCATTTTAATTCTCATTTTCTTTGAATCTCACTTTGTAAACAGAATCCTTTTTTTTTTTTTTGTCATTTTTTTTTTTTTGGCTTTTCCAGGGCTATGAAGTTTAAAGAGTGTAACTCCACGTTATTTCTGCTATGATAATTATATTTCCTTGAATATGACAAAAATGTGAAAGAGAGAGGAATAATAAAAGTGAAATTCTGATTCTTAGGCTTGTGTTTATATATATCCATTTTACTTTCATTCATTTACTCATGCATAGTTGGAGAGGAAAAAAGAGAAGAAAAAAAAAAGGTACAAATGGATAATGGCCAGAAATTAATTTCTGAGCAAGGTTTCTCTTCTATTTTTGGGCAGGAGGAAATCAAGAAAAATTTGTTCAGAAATGCCATGAATCTCAATTGGAATGAAGTGATCGAAACATACGCACAACATCCATGGGCTCACAAAGCCAAGATCACCAGATCAGGAGACACTGCGTTACATATAGCCATATCATACGGCAAAGAAACCATTGTCGAACAACTAATGGAAAAGATTTTGAAAAAAAAGGAAACTGCCTGTGATGTTTTAAAAACTCGCAATGAACTCGGAAATACGCCTCTTCATTTGGCCGCCTCCCTTGGGAATGTAAAGATGTGCAGAGTCATTGCTCTTGACTACTCGACATTAATTGGGGAACGTAATGAGGATGGAGAGACTCCTTTCTTCCAGGCAGTTTTAAACGGCAAGAGGGAAGCTTTTCGTTGCTTACATGACATTTGTGGGACACACAAAGGCTACTCGTACTGTAAGAAGAAAAATGGAGAGACAATTCTGCATTCCGCCATTTCTGGAGAATATTTTTGTGAGTCAAGCTTCCATAAACTAAGGCCTTGTTTCAAATAAATTTGTGTGCGCATTTAGATTATTTAACAAGGGAAGTTCATCTCGTTTTCTTTGTTTTATGGACAGATTTAGCACTTACTATAATTCAGTTCTACCCGGATCTAATTAACGCCGTCACCGAGGATGGAGCAACACCACTTCATCTTCTGGCATGTATCCCTTCTGCATTCAGAAGTGGAAGTTATATTAGAGGGTTTCGCAGACTTATTTACTGCTGTAAGTCTCCCTTTACCTCTCGAAAGGATCATAAACATCGGAATTTTTTCCTGCAAATAACTCAAAATTATATAATTATTTTGAAAGGTATATTTGTCCATGAACCCGAGGACATAGACCCAATGCACGATTTGTCACAAGGCTCGCAACATGATACCAAAGCAACATATCCAGAAAACTATCAAACCTGCATTGGATTTGCTGGTTTAGTGAGCAAAATATTTCGATTGCCAAGTAAAAAATTCTTTTACTTTATATTGCGTACGTGAGATATTGAACCATATATTCGTGTAAGAGTACACCTTTTTCTTTTCTTTCTAACCTTTTTTTTTTTTTAAACAGAAATTGGTCGTAGTAAAAATGAGAACAAGGGGATAACAGATGAAGAAAATCCGAAAGGAAAGCAACCTGATTTACAAAGACAGCAATCTAGTACTAAATATGGGAATAATGAAAAGTCACATGTAAATGATCCCAGAGGACAGCAACCTGATACTAATCATGGGCGTTCACACCTTCCTCCTAATTATGTCACGTGCTTTAATCTCATTAAACTCATATCCAAATCAATGTTGGTTATTCTTGGCTTAGGTAACCTCCTAATTAACCAGTAATCAATACAAAGTTCACAATTGTTGAGGACTTAATGTGTATATTTTCCCTCACTGCGTGACCAGGGTCTCATGACATAGTAAAGCTACACGAAAAAAAAGAAAAGCACATTTGGTCAGTCAAAATCACGGATGAACTTCTTAAACGAGCTTCTACCAATGAGTACGAAAATAGTGGAGAGAGTCCCCAACATTTTATGTCGCATAAACGCGATGTAGAAATTCCTTTCTCAGTTCCTGATGCAGGAGATATTTCCAAGCCGGGTGATGATCAGACACCCCAAACTAGCGATGGAGTGGATAGAAAAAAGGGCAACAATGGAAATGGTAACCAATTGTTGCTTTCTCTCTACGAACCACTCCTTGTAAAATCTTATTTATTTAAATTTTGTGTTAAAATACGGTTAGTCACCCCTATCTTTGCCGATTTTTCATTTAATAATTGAAACCTTTTGTTCCTTTTTGTTTCGATTTAGGCATTATGTCTACCTCTATCCACTGAAGGGCAAAAAAATTCCGTCCGTGCAATATTTTTATCGTCTAACTAGGCAAAAAGATGTCTTGGACATTCATTATTTTCATTGAAACCTATTTTGGGGCCATGTAGGTAACAAAAAAAAGATGCAGGAAATTGAAAAGGGGGAGACAGCACTACTTGTTGCTGCAAAGAATGGTGTGGTCGAGATGGTGGAAAAGATTATTAAACTTTTTCCGGTGGCTATAAATGACATGAACACAAGCAAGAAGAACATAGTATTGTTGGCGGCGGAAAATAGGCAGCCTCGTGTTTACAGGTTTTTACTCGAAAAGACTATAATGAAAGAAGACATTTTTCGGAAGGTAGACATCGATGGGAATAGTGCTTTGCATCTTGCTGCGAAGCTGGGAGATCATCGGCCTTGGCTTATACCTGGTTCTGCATTGCAGATGCAATGGGAAACCAAGTGGTACAAGGTATGATTTTTTTTTAAGAGTAATGCTATGTCACGAGTTCACATGGCAGTGAAACTCACACTCCATAATTGGCGATCAATTATATTTTTACTACTTTCTTGGGAAACAAAATAGTTATTTGTTTTTATTGTAATGCAGTTCGTCAAGGAATCCATGCCATTGCACTTCTTTGTAAGTCAAAACAAGGAGAACAAGACCGCAAGGGAGTTATTCACTGAAAGTCACAATGTTCTCATCAAGAGTGGCCGCGAATGGCTCTCCAACACCTCCGAGTCATGCTCAGTTGTCGCAGCCCTCATAGCCACAGTCGCTTTTGCCACTTCTACCACCTTTCCAGGCGGCTTCAAGGAAGAAAGCAACAAACCCACCTTCGCAAACGAGCCTGCATTTAACGCATTTTCCATAGCATCCCTTGTTGCACTCTGTTTCTCTGTTACATCGCTGGTCATGTTCCTCGCCATACTCACCTCCAGGTATTATTGAATCATCTGATCTAAAAATTCAAGTCATTACACGCTATACATATGCCACCCAAACTTTTATTTATTTATTTTTTAGTAAGAGTCCAGGCGAGATTTGATCTGAATACCTTTGCGTGTGCTGTAATATTATATAAAACCACATCATGTTAAACAAAATAAGTTGTTAGGGAAACAAAGCATTTATTTATTAAATTGAGTTTTCAACAGGTACCAAGAAAAAGACTTCACCAAGGACTTGCCAACAAAACTTTTGGTGGGATTGACAACTCTATTCGTGTCTATTGCTTCTATTTTGGTATCTTTTTGCGCCGGCCACTTTTTTGTGCTTAAAGATGAGCTGAAATATTCCGCATTCCTGGTATACGGCATCACATGCCTGCCGGTGACATTTTTCGCGAAGGCACAATTTCCATTATACTTTGATCTTATACGGGCTATAGTTAGGAATGTGCCAGAACGTAGTTATGAATAGAGTTCTCTGTTGTAAAATTTTAACCTTTTTGAATTGAATAGAATTGAATAATGATATTGGCGAGACCAAGTGTGATGATTTTTACAATTAAAATGGATGAGTGAGTGCCTTTTTTACCATGTATGCCATCTTTACAATAAAATAAATTAAAATGGAATGACCTCTTGTTCTTTTACGATTTTTTATCCAAAAGAAACAGTTGGGTGGTACTACCGTAATTGTAAAATAGTTTGGGGACAGGATGGTTAAAAATGACAGGACAACTACGTGGCGACCTGGGGTTGCAGTCTGGTCTCCCCGCAACTTCCCATTAATGAAGAGGTTAAAAATTTGAGTAATGTTATTCGTTCACTGCAGCAGTCGTCGTATGTGACACACACATGACATATAATTATTTGATGCATTAATGTGGTAGTTTTTTACCACATTTAATGCATCAAATACACACTTGACATGTGTGTGTCACATAGAACGACTGCTGCAGTGAGCGACTGCAAATAGTATTATTCTAAAAATTTAGATAAAGTTGTTGGTAAATCAGGTGTACGTATACTCGTCTCACATGAATAGCGTGCGCGAATATTTTATTGTGTGTGAGACCTTCCAGGAATGTAAAAGATTGTGTGAATGATTATGTACATGTAGCATGATTATAAAAATGGATCATGCTACTTGTACATTTTTTTTTACACTAAGTTTGACATTGTGCCACATGTCGCATCATGATTAGCCAGTTTTTAAACATTAGACACTTTCCCGCCAACAACACTTTGAATTTCCAAAGCATGTCAAATTTCATGTCAACAAAAGAATGTACAAATAGCTGAATCTTATAAAAATTTATGGGAAGTGCTACATGTACATAATTTTGTACATAATGGTATCCATAATTACATGTGGCACTCGATCCAACCTTTAATTCAAATCTCACACTTTCACATCAACAGTCAGATCTTGTCCACATCACATTATGGACACCATTATGTGGACAAATTATGTACACTTACACTTCTCCAAATTTTATCCACAGACGCGACGCGGCCTTCCGTCCCAAACACACACAAAACAGCAGCCCACTCTTCTACTGTTACTCTAGCAAACTCAGCTATAATCGACGACAAAAATCCCCAATTTTAAAAAAATCTTGAATAATCGATCTTACTACAATTGGGTACATTGATGCCGGAACTCGTCGCCATGTTACCGGAAGATACTATCCCCAAGTCACATCTAGATAAGCCGCTTCAGCAGCTCACAGAAGAAGACATTTCTCAGATTACCCGTGAGGACTGCCGCCGTTACCTCAAGGAGAAAGGTAATGCTTTTGATTGACACCAGACCATAATTTAAGCAAAGAATGAAGGCTGAATTGAAAATAAGAAAAGAATTTAGGGGATATTTGATGATATAGGTTTTGACTACGAATTGGTTTGGGTGTAGGGATGAGGAGGCCGTCGTGGAACAAATCGCAGGCGATTCAGCAAGTGATAATGCTCAAGAGGCTACTTGAAACGACGACGTCAGATGCTGAAGCTGAGCCTCGCAAAAAGCTCTACATTCCCCGCCCTAATAATGCTAGTAATGAGTACGATGATAATCCGAAGCGCGTGAGTATTATTATTATTATTATTATTATTATTATTACTTTTGTTATTGTTGTTTACATTAAAAAAGGGATAAAAGATTCTCTGCAGGTTCTGCCTTGAAATTTGTGACACATGTATTACAAGTTAGTTATCACATTGATTATATAAATGTAGGTTTCTGAGGGAACACTTGAATCAGCAGGAGAGAAGCTGCCATTTCTGAGAAAGGATCAGGGGAAACCTGATTCTCCTGGTGATCTGTCTGGGAGCTTGGTTTCCGCCAACAATGAATCTGCTCCTCCTAGGTGATTTTTTGTTTTTCACTCTTTAGTCAATTAGAAGCACATACTCAAATATCTTAATATAATATTACTTAATATTGTACTCCCGTTACCAGTTACACTTGTTAGAGTTGCCTTTTTTTTTGCTCTGTAGAGCATGTTCGATACAATCCAATAGAAAATCCCCAGGGCACTATAAGATAGTTTCATCTGATATTTGTATCTTTTAAGATTTTCTTATGAGCTCAAGACTAAACTACACTGTTCTTTGGATTTTCTTTGAACATTTTTGGTGTGTCTTATATAGTGATTCATCAAAGGAACTGCTCAACAATATTACCAACTTATTTCACTTGTCCATTTTCCAGAATTTAGGAAGCATATCTGACTTTAAGTGAACACAAATTATTAGATGCATGGCTGGAAGCTTTAAGGTTCCAAGTATGTCATTATGTGGGCACAAGGGTATAAATATGTTTGTCACATATTACCTGTCCTTGTCTACCATAATGATATAAGTAACACTTCTAGTATTAGCTATACATTGTTTGATCTATGTCACAATGCAAATGATATCGTGCTGTTGATTATTGAATTTATTCGATATCAAGGGATCATGTTACATACAATTCCCTGATTATGTTGGTGGACCCTGATGTTTCCATGTGTTTATTTGCATAATTTGTATATTGGCAAAGAGATATTCTTGTACGTGGATTAAAATAAGTTGCTAGTTTAGGTGTTGCCTTACGACGACTAAGCTCCATTTTGTTGGCATTCTATGTTAACATGTATTTACAGTAGAATACCGTGATTGTGTGCTCTTTGGTAGCTTCATATTATCTTATTTTACGTTGTTCATTGCGAATATGTTCATGGCACACACCAACAGACATTGATGTGGGTTGTCACCAAACCTGGTGAAGAACATTCCAAGAGGGAGACTGATGGTGGCCGGTGGGGATGATGATAGTGCCATAAAAAGGGGTTGGTGGTGCTGGGGTTGCTAGGTGTGAGAGGGCAGTGAGGAGGTGAAGCAGTAACATTTAGCCCCTGTTTGCTTTATATAAAAATCTGTTTTTTTAGCAATTTTTGATAAATTTTGATGAAATATGTGGTTGAAAATAAGTTTAGGGGATAAATGAGTTCTAGAAAATGGAACCAAACTGGGGGCTTATATCATATGGAGGGGATTAACAAGTGAGTCTAATTCATTGAAGAATGCTTTTATCAAGTGGTGATCCCTTGGAATATTTGTATTTTTGTCCATTTCAGAAAATCATTTCTGCACGAGACAATACATTCCCTATTGAATGTAATTTCTTAAAAATATCTGGAGATTGCATGTGATGTAACAAAGCTCAGAACACTGTAACTAACGCTTCTTAGAAAATTGTATTATATTTAATATCTAGGCAATAAGGAAGATCTCTTGAAAGTGCAAATTTAATTTTATTAGTGTCTTTATAGTTGATCACTATAAAGTGAAAACATTCAGCAGCAGACAGCAGAGAAGTAATTATCATTATTGATTCATTTACTCATGCAAGTTATATCCTGTTGTCATAGAAGAAATTAGATTTATATCAAGATTGAGAGATTTTATAGGTGATGCGATTAAGTAGATTATTTGAGTTAGAGTTAATTTTGGCTTGACCTTTATTTATGTATCTACAGCTTTTATGAGTTCGTAACAGAGCCTATATAAGAAGTGTTATTTTAAGTTGCCATGCATACAGTTTGTGACATACATGACACTGATGTTTCTTCTAAATGGCTCTTTTCCTTTTTCATAAGTTGATGTTTTTTCTTAATGGTCTCAGAACCGTGGGTTCAACAAATATTCCAAGAGGACAAATGACAATATTTTATTGTGGCAAAGTGAATGTGTATGATGATGTGCCAGCCAATAAGGTATTGGAGCTTCTTTGAATTACAAATATATTGAGCAATTTCAATGTTTCAGTCTTTAACATGTTTTTCAGGTACATGCAATTATGCATATTGCTGCATGCCCACTCCAGTGTCCTCAGGAACCACAATTTGACAGCACTGTAACAGTGCAACCTTCGCCATGCCACTCACAGGCTGTCAGTGGCAATGGATGCCCAGATTCTGTGATAGTTCTCTCACCGACTTTGCAGACAGGTGATTTAAATCTCAAGTTCCTTGTGGGCTTTTATGTCTTTCTGAGCCTCAAACATATACTTTTTCTTAACTGTGATTTGTTAAATCTATCTGAGCCCTTAAAGAGACTTAATCTTTGTAACTTCTTTACCAAGATCATTTGATAACTGAATCGTTGAAAAATTCATAAAAACTCTCTCTCTCTCTCAAACACGCACGCACACAACTCAACATTGAAAGCTTTTTATCACGTTAGTAGTTTGAAAGGTAAATACAGCAAAAGTACTGGTGCTTTTTATCAAATAACTCGAGTTATTACTGGCGCCTTAGAATTGCTGGAAGTTCCTGAGGAGCCTTGATACTTTTGAATATCTCAAATTTGTTTTCTATATAAGCAAGTTACTCCAGTAAAGTTTCTTAACATTTTTTTTACAGCAAAAATGAGTGACAACTCTCGACTGCATGGGGAAGAATGTACCACGCTTCATGAAGATTACCCTGGTAACATTTTGGTTTATATGTCTACATTTTGCATGATTCGCCCCACTGATTTTGATTCTAATTTCCAAAAAGATTGTAGACAATCTGTTTCCCAAAATAGAACTACACCCAAAATGGTTTTGATTCATATGACTGCATCTTGCACTTAAGCAGGTCAATAAGACTGAATTGAGTGTTTCTTGATTGCAGAATGTGTAGAAATATAATTTTTGCACCAATTTTCTGTGAAGGCAGAGTGAAAAAGAAGAAAAAGATTAGAATGGTATGTCTAGTCTTAAGGAAATTCTAGAAGTCTTTGGACTATTGGGGTCGCTTAACAAAAGACCGAGTTTTGTATGTTAAATCTCAATTGTTTGGTCGTTTGGTCTAACAATGTAAGGATCCTAATTTTTTGAAGGCCACCAAAAATAAAGACCGTCAATTTAAATTTATGGGTTGTTTGACAAATCTTTTGATAAAAGTTTTAGCAGATTTTGATAAAAGTTCATGAAATATATGGTTAAAGAGTTGATAAAAGTTTCGTGGTCCATGAGATGTCTGGTTAAAGTTGAAGTTTCAAGATGAACAAGCACTTAATCGAACTATAATTTTCAATTTGATAAAATTCATGAAATTATTTTATTGTAGAACTTTTTTCCACTGTGTTGGTAGAGCTTAGGATCTCGTATAGGCCATTATTGGAGTTTTGGTTTTAGTGGTCTTGAAGATATCAAATTATGGACCGGAGAGAAAAAGTCACCACAATTTCGCTAGTTGGCCGCTAGCTGTGGTGCTAGAACGGCATTGTTAAGTACTCAACAGAACCCTGGTTCTCGAGTGGAGGAGCTGCCGCACGCCGGCGCTCAAGCGGCTGATATATCCAAGAAAATTTTATTTCTTTCAATTAACGCGATTTTGATAATCTTCCCAATCATAACATATTCTTTTAGGTGCTACATATAGTACTTAGAATGAGCATAGATTTTCACGACAAAGAAGAAAGGACTAATCTCAATCTATGATCGAGAAGATAAGTGTACAATAGAATTAGGTAGTCCAACAAGATATTGAAGGACACCTATTGTCAAAGTCGCAAACTTCAAATCGATGAAATTCCACAATTACAATTTGAGTCTGACCGAATCATTAACAAATGAGCAATCTTATTGCCTCAATTTATAGAAAATATTTAAATTATACATTCAGATTGAAGTGGTATAGTAAAATTGAAAAAAAAAAACACCTAATTTCTAGCTTTAATAACATCCAACAAATATAGAAAGAGGTTGAGGACATCAAGATACAGGGAAATAGAAGCCCAAATGTACTTATCATAAGAAAATCACTTGATCAGATTATTGGTGTCGTAAATATTGGAGTTTTGGTTGAAGTGGTCTTGAAGAGGTCAAATTATGGACCGGAGAGAAAAAATCGCCACAATTTCGCTAGTGGACCACTAGCTATAGCTCTTGAGCGGCATCATTAAATACTCAGCAAAACCCTGGTGCTCGAGTGGTGAAGCTGCCACACGCCGGCACTCAAGCGGCTTATATATCCAAGAAAATTTTGTTTCTTTCACTTGACGCGATTTTGATAATCTTTCCAACCATAACATATTCTTTTAGGTCCTATCTATAGTCCACAAAATTTTTGGCTTTCATAACTTTGAGCGAGTTAGTATTGTATTAGATACACAATATTCTTTATATTTTCTCTCCATTATTAATAAATTTTCTATTCCTCTGCCAGTTTTCTTTGTGTTTTTCTTATGTTGTGATTGGTACTTCATAGTGTCATATAATCTCGTTTCTTTTATTCCTAACAAGTGCTATCAACATATATATAATTCTTATTCGGGTTCTAACAATTATAATTAAATTCTCATTTGCATTAGGGAATTGTGGATAGGCTTGCGAAAAAATATAAAAAGGGGATTCCTAAACATATCTGGAAAATTCTTATGAGTATGGAGACTTTTTAGTCGTTCATCATGTAATTGCTTGGGTTTTTCAGAATTAGATTACGCGCTTTGGTTTTTTTACCAGAATTAAATTTAGCTGTCATATCTTACTGCTGATATAGGATTGATTAAATCTCCCGTTGTAGGTTGTTTGTTCAATTATGACTTTCCCACCCTACAGCAAGTAAAGATTTGTGTTCATATATTATCCATAAGACCTGTTATGCTCTTTATTTAGTTTGATGTGTAACTTGTTGAGTGTTTGTGCTGAATGAAATTTTCCGTGGATGGAAAGCAATAGAAATTCTCTTGTTATCACAGGAAAATTAGTAATCTATGACAACAAGAAAAGCAAAGAACTAAGTGACTATCTAGTTGATCTAAGAATATTGTCCCTTATTCTTTGCCAAATGTCATTCTGATGTAATTTTATTTTTTCAAACAGTGGAAGGTCCATCAACCAGAAAAGCATCAGTTCAAAGATATCTTGAGAAGAGAAAAGACAGGTATCGTAAATATTAAGCTGCCTTCTGTGACTAACAGAAAAGAAACACGAAAAGTGCTGCTTTTGTTTCGTTCCTCATATCTCTGTTAGGTGAAGGTTTAAGAGCAAGAGAAAGATAGGAACGAACTCTTGTGCTGGGTTGGACCTATGCGTTAACCATGAAGTTGGTAATCGGATACCAAATGAGCACTCAAGGAGAAGTGATGCATGCTCCCCACGCCAAATCAGACCACCCTCTACGCCTACATGGTGCGGTTGGTCAACTCTTATCATTAGTACATGGCTAGAATGATAACAAGGGTTCATATAGTGCACTGTTTGTGCCATTTGTTTTGGTTGATGTTACAGTCTGTTCTTTTTCTCTACAAGTCAGAATAAAAAGATCCAACATACAGGGTAGTATCTAGATCTTATAAAATGATTATACTTTGAACAATTTCAAAATATTGCTTGCCATTTTAATACTATTTGTGAGGTGCTGGAATTACTTGAAAGCACAAGAAAAAAGAAAACCCCAAGATCGTAATGATGGATTTTTTTTATATTGATTTCAGGTTAAACGTACTCGAGAAGATGAACTGAGGCAGCCCTGATTGTTGTTTGTTTCCCACCATGATGATGATTATGAAGCCATTTTAAATCTTAGATGGTCAGCTGAATTAACAAGAGATGCTGCATAGATGTGTCTCACAAGAATTCATTAGGTACTTGTGTCCATAGTAAGGCTGCTGCTATTTCAATTCAACGAAGAGAAGAACTGGGAGTCAGTAATTTATTTCCCATAACCATGTTTTAGTATTTGAAATCGATGTATGAGAGAGTGATTTTTGGCTTCTTGCCTCCTTTCAGATTAGTATTATCATATCTTTATTTATTGCATTAATTGGCAAGGATATTTTAACTCATTCATGTAACAGACCCTATATTTATTGGAAACAAGCTTAGTTTGATGATGTTGGATGAACTGTGACGGAGCACTACAGCATTATTCCTTGTGTTGTTTTGATCCTCTTGGATTGATGTACTTGGTCGACATGGATGCTGGATGTTGCTGCATCTTCAAGCAACTCGATCGGGTGGACCTCGATTGAGAGATTTAGGTTCGGTTGCCAGTTCAGGGGAGTCGATGTGATGGGGATCCAACACACTCAATCATGTTGGGGAAAGATCGCCTCGAATGCAGGAATTGAGATTAACGAATTGAAATAACAAAGATCACAAGAAAAAGAACAAGATTAAAGTAAAGAAAATAGAGAAGAAATTGGCAGAGGAATCGATGTTTATTCAATAACAATATGGAGAGAAATTAAAAGAACTTAGCAATCTAAGCTTCTCAATAAGAACCGTGCTATAGGTACAGAAAGATTTGTCAGACAATTGCTAGATTTTTGAAATCAAAGGCCAGGATTTATACAAAAAGGCGGGGAAAAAAAAAAATCAAAGGCCACAATCATTTTCTGGTAAGTTTCTGGTAAAATTCCCTATACTCAGGGAATTTTCCTCTCAATAATTGAAAGAAGAGCATCCCTATTTATACAAATACTACACGTACAAAAAACCATAGGGATGTGTTAAGATATGGAAATAATGGGAAAAACACGTAATGGAAAGAAATCTGGCGCCACCTTCATTGAGAAAAACCATGCCAAAATAAATTTCCTTGCCTTAAACAAATCTGGATGCTAATTGATTTCTTTCCAAGTTTGTTCACCACGTTTTCCTTCCTATGGTAACCCTCTAATTTGGGGCACAATCCCAACAATTTCCACCTTGACCCAAATTTCGGTACTACGAACAAAATTTCAAAATTTCTCTACCTGAGAAATAAATCCGTCTGCATCGAAATGAACAATCTCCTCAAACAGTAACCAAAACTCTCCATCACACAAAAAAACATCTTCCTCTGCCCGGCATCCACAAGCGACACCCGAACCCTAAACCCGGATTCCCAAAATTCCAACAAGGAATTGATTATTGACCAAACAGGGTCGAAGCACTCCCTGTAGCAGAATCTACTCCAGATGCATGATCAGAAGGCCCCTTACTAGAACTGTCACCTTCAACGATCCCAAATGCATTGCAGACATCTCCAACACTGTACCTA